TTTTTTTTTTTTATTTTTTCTACCGCGCATTTGAAACTTATTTTTGTTGCATTTTTTCTACTGTTAATAATTTCTGACTTAACTTTTGAAATATATTTTACAGTAACTGTGTTATTAGTCAAACATATTCCAAATAAGCGATCTTTCCTCTAGAAGAGGTCAACAAATAATTTGGTGATAATTATGGTCTCCACTGGATAGATCTTAATTTTGATGTTATTAAATTAATAGTTATAAAACAACCGAAACTCCTCCAACTGGCCTACTCCGAATATCACCACTAAGGTTACTTCGCACCAATTCCTCACCACCGAAAGCTGTAGCGAAAAACGCTTTAATGGACTACTGTTCAATACCGGTTCCCGATTTATAAAATTCCTCTACTGTTTTTCCCCTCTGCCACAATTTTTGGATGTATATAAGATGATGTTCGTAGATATATGGTTTGTTTTCTTTGGTTTCCCCAAAAAACAATTATGTTGTGGCACTGAGCTGTCTATTGCTTCCTTTGTTAGTTCCTTTTTTTTCTAGCAAAATAAATATAATTTTTAGTGTCCATATCGCAAATACTTACAGAAGAAGTCTCAGTTGTATAACATTTTCATACATTTGACATTTTACATACAGAATTATTTATCCAGCAACAAAATTTAAATTATTTACAATTAAACTGACGCGACTTTGTCTACTTGTACCTCACATTTCTTCAAAGGTCAGCAACAGAAAAAAATTCTTTTCTTCAAGTCTTTCTTTGAATTCTTGAGTTTTTGGGCCAAAAAATTTAATTTTTGAGCAATTAAACAAAAAAATAAGAGAACCCAAATTATTTTTTATCTATCATTTAAAAAATCTTTTATGTTTCTTCGCTGAGCAAAAGAGTGAAACAAATATTTTTAGCCAAATTTCACAAAAAAATTACTGTAATGGTCCTTTAAAACTGGCAGTGTTGTTAAAACTGTTGTCCTACCAACAAGTGTAGCGGATGGTTCTTTTTACTAAAGCACTTCCCGAATCTAAAGAACTCTTTCAAAAAACGGTTGTACTGATATTTATTTATATGCACATCAAACTACTCTTCCGATTTAACAAGCTCTCCTTCGTGAGTAATTTTGCAAAGAAAAAGACCAAGGAACAGTGCGCGGCCAGTTAGCTCTTAGCAGACTAGGTAACTGATTTCGCCTGTCTGCCAACCGTTCTATTAAGAGTGAATAAGAATTGTTACGGACTTGTGAGAAAAACTGGTACGTTTAATGTAATATTATTTTTTTCGCGTTTTAACAGAAAATCCTAAAAAAAGCTTTTAAGCAGTACAGGAGATTTGAAATTGCTGTCAGGTGTTACAAAAGTATAGTTCCTAAAGAACCGGTTGTTCATTCTGTTAACGACATTTAGCTGATTAGGAACCTAGCTGCCTATGCGCTACTGCTCGGTCTCCTCCCAAAAGATTCCTTTTGGTTTTTCCTTTTTTTCTAGCACACACTCTACTGCGACGTTGTCTTCCTTCCGCTCCCTAAATACCAGGCACTCTGGATCGATTCTGAAGCGATTGATGCACATAACAGAAAGAAACAGTCGCATTAAACCTCAAAACACTCT